TTATTAGAACAGAAAGGCTGGGTCAGGTACTCGTTCAAGTCCTGGCTGCTCCACTTCTGATCCAGCTCCCTGCTATGGCCTGGGAAAGCAGCAGAAGATGGCCCAAGTCCTTGGGCCCCTGCAGCTGCGTGGGAGATCCAGAAGAAGCTCCTGGCTCTTGGCTTCAGATCGGCGTAGCTCTGGCCATTGCAGCCACAGGGGGTAAACCAGCAGATGGAAGACTTCTCTAATTCTGACTTTCAAATAAACAAATAAATCTTAAAAAAAAAAAAAAAAAGAAAACAGAAAGGCTGAGTGAAACACAGTGCAGTGGTTAAGAAGACTGGCTCTGGTGTCAGACTATCCAGACGATAACTGTGACTGTCACTTAAGTAGGAAGCATGCAGGTAGCTTTGACTTAAAGATTATGATCTTTTCAAATTCATTTCTTTTTTTTTTTTTTTTTTTTTACAGGCAGAGTTAGACAGTGAGAGAGAAAGAGAGAAAGGTCTTCCTTCCGTCGGGTCACCCCCCGAATGGCTGCTACGGCCGGTGCACTGCACCAATCCGAAGCCAGGAGCCAGGTGCTTCCTCCTGGTTTCCCATGCGGGTGCAGGGCCCAAGCAGTTGGCCCATCCTCCACTGCACTCCTGGGCCACAGTACAGAGCTGGACTGGAAGAGGAGCAACTGGGACAGAACCAGCACCCTGACTGGGACTAGAACCGGAGTGCTGGTGCCACAGGCGGAGGATTAGCCTAGGAGCCGCGGCGCCAGCCTTCAAATTAATTTCTAACTAAGGATGAAAGGAACACTTGGCCTTTTCAAAATGACAAATAGTCTAAGGAGTCCCAAGGTGTCCCTTTCATCTACCCATGTAATCCACTTCTGATATGATCTATAAACAAGGCACAAAATTCAAGTATTTCAAGAAGGAGGCCTCTGTCTCTCTCTCTTTCTCTGCTTCTCCTCTCTGTTTAACTGACTTTCAAATAAATAAATAAATCTTAAAGGGGGGAGGGGGCTGGCGCTGTGATGCAGTGGGTTAACACCCTGGCCTGAAGCGCCCGCATCTCATATGGACACCAGTTCAAGACCTGGCTGCTCCACTTCCGATCCAGCTCTCTGCTATGGCTTGAGAAAGCAGTAGAAGATGGCCCAAGTCCTTGGGCCCCTGCACCCTCATGGGAGACCTGGAAGAAGCTCCTGGATCCTGGCTTCAGATCGGCGCAGTTCTGGCTGTTGTGGCCAACAGGGGAGTGAACCAGCAGATGGAAGACCTCTCTCTCTCTCTGCCTCTCCTCTCTCTGTGTAACTCTTTCAAATAAATAAATAAATCTTAAAAAAAAAAAAAAAAAGGAATCAGGGGCAAAGAGAAAGCCATGTAATTATACATGTTAGATACACATTTGATTTTCAGTACATCTAACTATGAGTCCCAGAATTCACCAACATGAGATAACTCAACTGGTAAAATAAAGAACTTATTTTCCCTTTTATGTCTCTCCTTGTCAGAAGCAACCTCATCCATTTTATGGAATAGGTTACTTGATTTACCTAACAGTCTTTGGGCAGGACGGGCTGTGAACATGACTCAGGGGGAAGACCAGAGCCAGGACTGGGCAGAGGGCAAGGGCAGCTTGCCCAGGTATCTCTGCTCTGTTTACCTCCAGCCTGTAATATCAACATTGCTTTTCCAGAAATGTCAATCTTAACAGGCAGAAATCCCAAAGAGAACAGTAACAAACTGTTAACAATGTTATCTACGGAAGCAAAACACCAGCACGCTGTTTAAGGTTGTCCTATTTCCTGAGAGAGCACACAGAGAGGTCCTGCCTCAGTCATGCCAGCTGACGCCCAACAGGATGAGGTCCCGCTAGGGGAGACACAGATCCCAACCTAACAGCACACTACCTGCTCTCCTAAGGTCAGGACAGCTGAGCCAGTTAAATTAGATCATGTTTTCTTTCCTTCCTTCCTGGTAATGGTCAGAAAGACCATTACCAAGATATGCATGAGAATAATTTATTTTGGCTTTGAATGGACTATTCCCTACACCTAATCCAGTTCAACATCTTATCTTTTGGCTCTCTACTGAACCACTCTGCTCTGTATAATCTCAGGCATTTCAGCAATTTGAGAACAACAAAAAATGTCAGTCTAATCTTGACTAAAGAGCTGTGGATTTCACCAGGAAGGAATATAGGCAGACTACAAGGACCAAGGCCCCAGTCCTTTCAACATAATAATGAAATGAGCAAGCCTTCTGCTGAGTATAAGTAAAGATGAAGAAAAAAAGAGCAAGGTGGCCCAGAACCCTCCTAAAGAGCAGGTAAAAAGGTTCAGAGTAATGGGGACACATAAAACATAGCATTTTCCTAACTTTACAAGTGTCCATCCTTACAACATCTACACACTCAGTGGCTGTTATAGAGGGAAAAACATAAAAAAAAAAAAAAAAAAAAAAAAAAGCAAGTGGATAGATCCACACTTGTCTAAATACACCATAATCTTAGCCTGCTCTCTTACTAGATGCTAACCTGTACAATATACCCAATTACAGGGACTGAATCTGACCAGAAAATAAACATAAGCCTCAGATTCATCTGAAGCAACAAGAAAACAACTTTCATTCAGTATCTTATGTTTACTATAAACAATCCATCTTTCTCAGGTCTAACTAAACTCTAAGTTACTTTTAATCTTTCCGCTAGCTTTGTTGAGATTTAAAACCCTCTCCACCAAATTCCAACGTGTTTGTCTTAAAATGAAATCCACCTCTAACACTAATTTAAAGACATTTCCTCTACTTCAGAACAGTTCATGTAACAGGCACCTCTGCAACCCCACAAGTTCAGAAATGACAGACAGGGGACACGCGAGCCCATGGCGATGAAGGAAATGCATAAGGGGCGCTGGTGTCTGCCTGCAGACATGGAGCCACTCTGCTCCCAGCAGCACCTGTGACCATCTTCATGTGGAGATGAAGAGACTTGCAATGACGGACTAAGTGGCCGTCAGATTCTGGGCCTCATTTAAGAGCCTGGGCTGCTCAGTCAGCAAGTCAAGTTCAAAACTCAGGCTCTTCTAAGACATGAGTTTCTAAACATGAGTGACAGAAGCCCCATCTGTACCTGCACACCACCACTTCTACCTTTTACCCCTGGAAATCCTGATGCTCTGAGGAGCATGGGTGGAAAATCTCTACTCCAAACACAGAGAGGCAACAGCGAAGAGCAAAGATCTCTCCCGTCTCGTCCCCTCCCCTCTTCTTCTCTCTCTCTCTCTCTGTTTTCAAGCAGGTGCTGATTCCTGACGTTGAGATGTATGCTGAAGTTTGGTTACAAGTGACTGTGCATCTCACCTCTCTGGCTTCCCCATCTACTCCCTCCCAGTGTTTTAACTAGCCTTGTAAACTGTGCTTACTGTCTTCCTAAAAGACTCTAGGAAACAGCTGGTTACAAAATACCTAGCAAATGCCAACAGCACATAGCACCTGCACATAAACAAACTCACATGTACACATACACCAAGGTAGCTGCCACTTTTGGTTGGAAATCTTAAAAATTAAAGCATAAAAGCTCCTTTAAAAGGCTTTTATTGGGGCTGGCACTGTGGTACAGTGGGTTAGGCTACCACTTGAAGTACCAGCATCCCAAATGAGCTCCAGTTTGAGTCCTGGCTGCTCCACTTCTGATCTAACTCCCTGCTAATGTGCCTTGGAAAAGCAGGGGAAAATGGTCTAAGTGCTTGGGTCCCTATAACTACCTGGGAGCTCTAGATGAAGCTCCTGGATCCTGGCTTCAGCCTGGCACAGCTCTGGCTGTTGCAGCCATTTGGGGAGTGAACCAGCAGATGGAAGACCTCTCTCTTTCTGTCTCTCCCTCTCTCTCTCAGTAACTCTACCTTTCAAATAAATAAATCTTAAAAAAAAAAAAAAGCAAACATCTGAAGAAAAAAAAAGGCTTCTACCTACTACTAAAAACAGTCTAAAAGGTCTAAAAAAATTCAAGAATATTTATATTAAACTGTTAAATCAACAGTGATCTCAGGATGTCAGATTCTTAGATTTTTATTTTTTAATTTTTGCTATCTATAGTTTAAATTTTTCTACAATTCACATATTACCTGTGCCATTTTATTTAGCCTAATTACTATAATTTTTCAAAAAGACTTACTTATTTGAAAGGCAGTTAAAGAGAGGAGGGGGAGAAAGGGCTCTTCTATCCACTGGTTCACTGCTCAAATGACTACAACAACCAGGGCTGGGCCAGGACAAAGCCAGGAGCCAGGAACTCCATCCTGGTCTCCCATGTGGGTGGCAAAGGCCCAAGCAGTTAGGTCATCTTCCACTGCTTTCCTAGGCGCAATAACAGGGAGCTTGATCAGAATCGGAGCAGCCGGGACTGGAACCTGTCATCTGAAATGGGATCCAGCACTGCAGGCCATGGCTTAACTCACTTGTGCAGTAACACCGGCCTGTGTTACTATTATTTATTCATAATTTCTGCCAGGGGCTTGTCTTACCAGCATAAAAATGTTCTAAATAGTAACCAGAGCATTCTTCTCTTCAGGTTTCACAACTTCTACAAGGTCTCAAATAAATGTCTAAAGAATGTTTCTGACAAATTCCATTCTCTTGCTCAGAGGGGTTCTGACTCTCCAGAGCTCTGGTGCAACAGTAAAAACACACTCAATGGCACTGAGCAAGCTTCCTGGCAAAGGGCCCTCAACCTTATCACAGCCGAGTGGCTCTGGTACAGGAGGTATAGTAGGGTCAGCATGGTTTGGAACAAATGCAAACACGTACTGGTCCCAGAGTCAACCCAGGGGTTCAGGCATGCCATACTACCGCAGGAACCCTGGGGCAACCCAGATACTCATTTTTTTTTTCCTGTCAAATAATCTAAGTGAAAGGCATCAATTAGTGAGAAGTCCTCCACGCTGGAGTGGCTTCTACTCAGAGGCAGGTGGTGGAGCGGACCCAAGTCAGCTGAAGTTGGTATTACCACATCAAGCTCACCTTTGTGGCCATGGTCTTCACCCCACGAATTCTCCACTCTCCATTTCACAAATACACCATCCCGATCATCCTGCAAGAGAGTGGACGACAGGGTACAGTCTGAAGCTACAGTGCCCCTGAGGGCCATCATGTAACCAGCTCGTCTGCAGCAACTCAGAATACACAGCCTGCTCTGCACAGCCCTCATGCACAGGAGGAGGCCTTCCATCCCCTACCACCATGAAGGGATCCTTCAATAAAGCAGAGTTTGAATCTCCTGGGGTAAAATACAACACAGCAGTAAATAACATATTTTCTTCACACTCTAACCTACACAGAAAATAAGCAAGTAAAAATGCTAGTTAGCGAAGGAAAATGAAATCTTTGAAATTACCAAAGGCACTGAATGCATTTGAAGCCAAGGACCCACTTTTCATCATTTGGTACTTTTTGCAAAGGCATCCCAATGTATTTATTTTAGGTATGAGTCAAAGACCTAGTCTGACTTTTTAAAAGCAAAGCAAGGGGCCAGTGCTGTGGCATAGTGGGTAAAGCTGCTGCCTGCAGTGCCAGCATCCCATATGGACACCTGTTGCTCCCCGTCTTCGTGGAGGAACGACACAGGACCCTGCGCTGTTCTTTCGTCTGCTCGGCCCTTCCCGGGTTTGCTGCTGGTTCTTCCTGGGTTGGCTACCGACCCTTCCACCTCCGTGGAAGGGCGGTTCCCCCTGCCACTTTCCCCACTTCCGCGGGGGAGCGGCACACCGCCGGCCGGCTCTCTCGGGGGCTGCACAGGTGTTCCTTCAGATAGATGTTCCTGGTGCATGTTGTCTCTCTCCTCCTTTATAGTCCTCTTCCACCAATCCCAACTCTGCTACCCACACGCCGAGTACGCTGCTCTCCTCCAATCAGGAGCAGGTCCTACAGTTTATTGGTTGAACTGGAGGCAGCTGTGTAGAAGCTGTTACTCCCTTCTCAGCGCCATATTGTGGGAGAGCAGATGCACAGAATAAGTCTTAATTCCAGTAACTTAGTCTAGTCCGAGTTGCTCCCAGTTGCTCCCCACAGACACCAGTTCAAGTCCTGGCTGCTCCACTTCCAATCCCGCTCTCTGCTATGGCCTGGGAAAGCAGTGGAAGATGACCTAGGTCCTTGGGCCCCTGCATCTGCATGGGAGACCCAGAGGAGGCTCCTTTTTGGATCAGCACAGCTCCGACAATTGCGGCTATCTGGGAGTGAACCAATGGATGGAAGACTTCTGTCTCTGTCTGTCTCTCTGACTCTGGGTAACTCAGCCTTTCAAATAAATAAATCTTTAAAAAACAAACAAAAAAAAACAAAGCAAACACATTCCATCATACTGCCTTATTTTCTACTTAGGGAAACCAAGTATGATACTCTCCAAATGTGTTCTTTTACTTAACTCAGTTACACAAATACTGAATTTAATATACAAGAGACTGAATGGCAAAGCAAAAGTAAAAAGAGCATTTCAAAACAAAGCCCAGGCAGTTTTGCTCTTTCTCTTCTATCTTCACTCATAAAATAAGCTCAATTTTCATCTCCTTAAAGAGAGAGTGAGGAGCAGGCATTTGGCCCAGTGTTTAGGACACCCATGTCACATAGTACCTTGATTCTACACTTGGATCCCCTCCTGCTAAGGCAGACTCTGAAATGCAGCAGTGATGGTTCAAATAATTGGGTTCCTATTACCCATGTGGGAGAACTGGCTCTGGGCTTTGGCCCAGGACAGCCTGAAGTGTTGAGAGCATTTGGGGAGTAAGCTAGCAGATGGAAGCTCACTGTCTCTCAAATCAATAAATAAACAAAAATTCTTAAAAAGAGTGCTGTTTATCGTAATGGTTTTCACTTATAGCCTCTACTACAGCGAGTTACAAGAGGAAGCTCCATTTGGGAAAAGACTCCCCTCCTTCACGTCTACCCAGGACAGTGGCTGATGTCAAAACAACTTAAATCTTTGTAGCATGAGAGAGTGCTGACCCTTGTATTATCTCCTAATGATTTCATCTGTCAACTCCCACTTGCATATCACTGCCTGACGAGTCTCTTCTGCATGGGCTTTGACTCCCTTTGGCTCTGCTGACCTGAACACTCTACTCGGGGCGGTTTCTTTGGATCTCAGCAATTTTCAGTCTTGGAAATAGCCAACAAACCTAGTTCCAAGTTTCAAACACTCTTAACTCTACAAACAACCTTGAACTATACATTCTAGGGCTGGCATATTAGATGTCTGGTTTTTTCATGCCCTTCATTGTAGTCTGTCTTTATTATCCCTTTTTACTATCACTGTTATAATCTATATCACCTAAAGTCATTTACTTGTTACAGTTAAGAAGCCTTATCCTGGCCAGTGAATTCCTGCATGATCTGGATCAAATTGTTCTCTGGGCCATCCACTAGTTAGGAATGACAATACCAGACCTCTTTGCAGGGGCTCCATGAAATCAGCAACAAGAAAGAACACTGTAGAAATACTGCTACTAGTATATGTTTATATTATTATTCAAATGTAGCTCAAACTAGTTTTAGTGGTCAAAACTCTTGGGGGATGATTTCAATACAAAATCCTAGCTATAATATAAATTCTGCTTTATATTATTAGCATGTAAAGTCATTCTACTTCCCTGAGGAAATAAATTGTGCCAAAGAATGGAAGTTCCAAAAAAAATCAGAGAGAGTACTCATGACTTTTATTTCTGAAAAATAGGAATACTCTACAACAAAGATGGAAAACAGCAAAAAGCTGAATGTCTCCTGCAAATTACAAGAGGTCATTTTGCTTTTTTAAAAATAGCCCTTTGGGGAGCTGGCATTGTGGCGTAGTGGATAAAGCCGCCACCTGCAGCACCAGCATTCCATTTGGGCACTGGTTAGAGTCCTAGCTGTTCCACTTTCGATCGAGCTCTCTGTTATGCCCTGGGAAAGCAGCAGAAGATGGCCCAGGTCCTTGGGCTCCTGCACCTGCAAGGGAGACCCAGAGGAAGCTCCTGGCTCTTGGCTCCGGATCGGTGCAGCTCCAGCCATTACGTCCAATTGGGAAGTGAACCAGTGATGGAAGACCTCTCTCTCTCTCTTTCTCTGCCTCTCCTCGCTCTGCAACTCTGATTTTCAAATAAATAAAACAAATCTTTAAAGAAAAAATTAGCCTTCAGGGGCCAGCGCTGTGAAACAGCAGGTGAAGCTGCTGCCTGCAATGCCAGCATCCATAAGGGCACCAGTTTGTATCTCGGCTGCTCTACTTCCCATCAAGCGCCCTGTTAATGGCCTGGGAAAGCAGTGAAAGATGTCCCAAGTGTTTGGGTCCTTACCACCCACCTGGGGGAACTGAAAGAGCTTCTGACTCGGGCCTGGCCCAGCTCTAGCCTTTGTGGCTATCTGGGAAGCGAACCAGTAGATGGAAGATCTCTCTCTACATGTCTTCCTCTCTCTGTAACTATTTTTCAAATATATAAATCAATCTTTTTTTAAAAAAAAGCCTTAAATACAGTTTAAAAGTTTAACTTTAAAGACCTATAATTATAAATCCACTGAATTTTACAATATAGCTGGCCCAAACATAAATATGAACAAATTATTCCACTTACTCTTGAAAAACGCCTCCCAGTGTTTTGCTTCTAATGTCAAAAAGGCACTCATTTAAAATATCTTATCAGTTAATTTTATGTTTTGTTTATATTATATTCAAGCATGAGAATTAAATTGAAGTGATAAAAAATTTTTTCATTTATTTGATAGGCAGAATGACACAGTGAGAAACATATTGAGAGTTTCCATCCACTGGTTTACTCCACAAATGCCCAAAACAGCCAGGACTGGGTCAAGCTGAAGCCAGGAGTCAGGAACTCCACCCATGTTTCACACATGGGTAGCAGGAATCTAAGTACTTGGGCCATCATCTACTGCCTCCCAGGAACATTAGTAGGAAACTGGATCAGAAGCAGAGGTGGGACTAGATACCAGGCACTCTTAAGATGTGGATGTCCCACATGGTGGTTTGACCCACTGCATCACAAGGTCCACCTGTAGGGTGACAAAAATTTTCTTTTATAAAGATGATTTATTTATTTGAAAGGCACAGTAATGGAGAGAGAGGGAGACAAAGAGAGATCTTCCATCTGCTGGTTTACTCCTCAAATGGCTACAATAGCCAGGCTGAAGTCAGGAGCGAGAAACTCCATCCTGGTCTCCTATGTGGGTGGCAGGGGCCCACGTACTTGGGCCATCTACTACTGCCTTCCCAGGGACATTAACAGGAAGCTGGATCAAAAGCAGAGCAGACATGACTGAAACCAACATTCCTAAGTGAGATGCCAGCATCATAAGCAGTGGCTTAAGCTGCTGTGCTACAATACTGGTCCCAAAACTTAAATCATCTTGTGCCATCATGCAATGGTGCTTCCTATTCTACCCAGGTAATACCAATAAAACGTCACATATTCTTCTGTTTCTTGGTGTGGGACTCTCACTAACTATACAGCTGAGACTGCCAAGGAATGAGGAAAGCAGCTCAATTACAAGATTTCAATCTCTATGTTTATATACGAAAATTACCTCACCATCAGGAATATCAGCACAGGAGGCCTGCTTAGTTCAGAGTACTTTTAATGTTGTCCTGTGTTTGATTCCCCATCAAACAGAATTTCTCCAAGTTCTACTACTTAAAGACCTAGCCTTGGGATGAGCAGTTGGTCTAGCAGTTAAGACATCTGTGTCCCATACTGGAGTGCCTGGATTCAATCCTAGCTCTGGCTCTTGATTCCAGCTTTCTGCCAGTGAAGACCCTGGGAGGCAACAAGTGATGGTTCAAGCAGCTGGGTCTCTGCCACCCACGTAGGAAACCTGGATTGGGTTTCCAGCTCCTGGCTCCAGTCCAGCCTTGGTCATTACAGGCATCTGGAAAGCAAACCAGGAGATGGGAGCTCTCTGCTCTCTCTCTGCCTGAAATTTGGCACAATGACATGCTAAGATATTCTTAAACATTTTAATGATCATAAATCTAGTAGGTAACATAGCAAAAACAATTTTCTAACAAATTATTTCCTAAAACAATCTACACAAGGTAGTTATTTAGGCAGGAAGCTTGTGGTGGTAAAGAATTCAAGAAGTTCCTCTTGCTTAAGACCTCCGAGTAGAGGGTTTGCTTAGCTAGCCTTTCTACAGCCTGGAGGTGGGACACTTATTTGTGAAAGATAAAATTTCAGTTGTTGTACCCAACACTGGGTCCTAGAACTTGTGATATTTATATTCAGAGTATTTCATAGCAAATTCAAAATACCTTTTACATCCAATTTCCAGAAGCTCTGCATAAATCCAGTAATGCACATTCAATCTGCAAATTACTGCCATTTAACTACAGAAAAAAGCTGATAATAGTGAAAGGAAGTGAAGTCCGAACATGGGTCATCAAGACGTGAGCACTCTTAGGACGCATTTTCTTTCTTTATAAAACAGAAGTTATCTCCTCTGAAGTGCCTTTGCTGACCTCTCTACCGACCAAGACCTTCCAAAGTTAACAGAAAATCAGTCACTCTCTGCTGACCCAAATTCTGCTCCTCATGGGAAGTTCTTATTTTCACTTCCTCTGAACATGCAGCCACGCCCCCAGTGATGCACTACAATGTCTTATTTGGAATCTAGCTTTGAACAGAAAGCATGCACACCAGGCATGAAACTCTGCTGGGTAAACATGGATGGAAGTCCACCTGTGCAAACACTGCGGCAGGCATGCCGGGGGTCATACCTTCTCCGAGACAGCAGTGAAGGTCATGGCGTGGGTCATAAGCGACTCACCAAAAGTCAGTCTCTCAGCTTTATTCATGTTCTTCAAGGAGACACCAAACACTAACTCATGGTCATACCTGTAAAAAGAATGACAGCACAAAATAAAGGAATACAATCAAGGGAGAAAACTGAATTCTGGTTATAAAAGGAACACAGAAGAAAATGGAGTGGCTCAACAACTCCAGATAAATATGGGCTGTAGCTGTGGCTCCTAAAGGAGAATACGGTTCGTGGAGAATTCAGTCTCTCAATGGGGCTCTGTTCTCTATGTGTCACAAGAGTATGCAGGGAAATATGAAATGACTAAACATAAATTTACAGTATTAGAAGTTGATGAGTTTGTCCTGTCATTTTGCTAACTTTAAAAAAGAAGAAAAAGGCCGGCGCCGCGGCACACCAGGCTAATCCTCCGCCCGCAGCGCCGGCACACCAGGTTCTAGTCCTGGTCGGGCGCCGGATTCTGTCCCAGTCGCTCCTCTTCCTGTCCAGCTCTCTGCTGTGGTCCGGGAGTACAGTGGAGGATGGCCCAGGTGCTTGGGCCCTGCACCCGCATGGGAGACCAGGAGGAAGCACCTGGCTCCTGGCTTCGGATCAGTGGGATGCGCCGGCTGTAGCGCACTGGCCGCAGCGGCCATTGGAGGGTGAACCAGCGGTAAAAGGAAGACCTTTCTCTATCTCTCTCTCACTGTCCACTCTGTCAAAAAAAAAAAAAAAAAAAAAAAGTCTCTTTTGAACTGGTGGAACCATCCAGTTTCTAAATTAATTTAAACCATTGTTGACTGTAGAATTTAAATAAATAATGCCAAAAATGTTGGAGACTATTCTCAAAAAAATTTGTTTTTAAGATTTATTTATTTATTTGAAAGTCAGAGTTACACAGAGAGAGAGAGAGAGGTCTTCCATCCGTTGGTTTACTCCCCAAATGGCCGCCACGGCCAAAGCTACGCCGATTCGAAGCCAGGAGCAGCTTCTTTTGGGTCTCCCACACGGTGCAGGGGCCCAAGGACTTGGGCCAACATCTATTGCTTTCCCAGGCCACAGCAGAGAGCTGGATCGGAAGTAGAGCAGCCAGGTCTTGAACCAGCGACCATATGGGATGCAGGTGCTTCAGGCCAGGGCATTAACCCACTGAGCCACAGCTGCGGCCCTTCTCAAAAATTTTTTAAATCCATTAATTCTTTTAGTAAATTTCTTTTCTCCTGTTAACTATGAAAATATTTACCCAGCTTACTCCAGGTAACAACTTCTTACAAACTACTACAATATGGTATATTTTAAAAGTTGGGGGGAGGGGCCAGCACTGTGGCATAGGTGGGTCAAGCCACAGCCTGCAGTGTTGGCATCCCATATGGGTGCCGGTTCAAGTCCTGGCTGCTCCACTTTGGATCCAGCTCTCTGAAATGGCCTGGGAAAGCAGCAGAAGATGGCCCAAGTCCTTGGGCCCCTGCACCTGTGTGGGAGACCCAGAAGAAGCTCCTGGCTTCTGGCTTCGGTTCGGCCCAGCTCCAGCCATTGCAACCAACTGGGGAGTGAACCAGCGGATGGAAGACTTCTCTTTCTCTGCCTCCGCCTCTCTGTAACTCTTTCAAATAAATAAATAATTCTTAAAACAAAAAAAAATTGGGGGGAGGGGGACAACTGTGGTGCCATGAGTTAAGCCATAGCTGCGACATGGCCATCCCATATGCGAGCACCAGTTAAGAGTCTTGGCTGCTCTGCTTCTCATCCAGCTCCCTGTTAATGCACCTGGGAAAGCAGTGGACGATGGTCTAAGTACTTGAGCACCTGCCACCCATGTGGGAGATTTGGATGAAGTTCCAGGTTCCTGTCTTTGGCCTGGTCTAGCCAGCCATTGTGGCTACTTGGGAAGTGGATCACTGGATGGAAGATCTTTCTTTTTAGAAGACTGACTCATTTATTTCAAAGTCAGAGCTACAGAGAGAGAGGGCAAGACAGAGAGAGAGAGAGATCTTCCATTCTCTAGTTCACTCTTTTTTTGAAAAAAAAAAAAAAATTTTTTTAAGATTTTATTTATGTGAGAAATAGAGTTACAGAGAGTCAGAGAGAAAAGTCTTCCATCCGCTGGTTCACTCCCCAAATGGCCACAACTGCCAGAGCTGAGTCAGTCCAAAGCCAGGAGCCAAGAGCTTCTTCTGGGTCTCCTAAGTGGGTGCAGGGGCCCAAACACTTGGGCCATCTCTACTGCTTTCCTAGGCCATAGCAGAGAGCTAGATCAGAAGTGGAGCAGTTGGGACATGAACTGGCACCTATAGGAGATGCTGGCACTGCAGGCAGCAGCTTTACTTGCTATGCCACAATACTGGCTCCAGTATTTCAAATAAATAAACCAATCTTTAAAAAAAATAAGGACTCAAATAATTTATTGTGCAAATGAGCCTTCACTGTCATAAAAAAAACCAGGAAGAATACAGGAAGTATGTACGCAAATTAGTCCTGTTTGTCATAAAGTCACCAAAGTTAGACTAGCAGTTTAAGAAAGGTCAAATAGCAAACAAGAGTTCTGGAAAACCTTCCATGGCATTCTCAAATGCACTAAGTAAATTTACACAGTAATCAATTATGTTTTAAAGCACCTTTCTCACACAGGATGGCTTTTTAGGAATATTCAACAATTTCTATTCAGATACAAAGTATGACCTTGATTTCCTGGGTTAGAGCAAACTCTACTGTATGCAAAGAAAAAGATCCACCCTTAATCTTTGGATGACTCCCAGAAGGATAATTTCATACCAAGAGTGAGCTCCAACAGCAACAACCCACATATAATGTCTATTTCAAATTTCTCACACTCACACATTCATGTCACTGAGGCCCAGCTTGCCATTGAAGTGTTTTCCAACATCACAGCCAAACCACACAGCCTAGAAATAAAGGAAAGAGGAAAAAAGAAAGTCAACATAAACCCTATTTTCCTATTACACCAAAGAAGTAAAAACAAAAAAAAGGCATTTTAACCCCAATGTGGAAGATACAAAAACCAACCAACCTCTCCATCTTTGATGGAAGCAGCAACCATCTTTTTCAAGAAGTCAATGGGTTGGTTGTTATATAGAGTTTTTCTCCCTCCTACCATATTGCTTAGGTAGTCTACCGTGTATAGTCTGTTATACTTGTGCTGGGGCCGAGGGTCATTCACAAAACAAATCTGTTGAGATCAAGAACATGCTGGTTACAACACAAAACCACGAATGTCAAACAAGGTACACACCTCTCCTCTAGGTTCATGCTTGTGTCCAGCTCCTCACCTCTGCCTAAGAGAAGGAGCACTACAGCCACACTGTTAAATAAAAAAGAAACAAGATGTGGCAAAATATCCCCGAGACAGGTCCTTGCATACCCTAATTAGCAAGAGGGATATCTTTGGCTGCTGTACCTACCTGTTTTTCTCACAGGTAAGACCTGCCCCAAAACTAATTCTGAAAACTGCATTCACTGAGAAAGACAAGACGGAGTGCGCATCACTGTAAGAACCCTGTTCTCAGGGTACAACATAGTCTCAGCATCTGACAATGGAAGAGTCACTAAGCCAATCAAAGGAAGAAGCTCTCTTAACTGGCTCAGCAGACGGGAGACTCAAAGGGAATAGGAAAAGCCAGAGGGGACACAAGCAAGTCTGCAGAGGAGTGCTGGAGGCCGGCATTATGACACAGTGGGTAAACCACTGCCTGCAATGCTGGCATCCCATATGCACACTGGTTGGAATCCCAGCTGCTCTACTTCTGATCCAGCTCCCTGCTAGTGGCCCCTGCACCCACATGGGAGACCTGAATGATGCTCCTGGCTCAGCCCTGGCTGCTGCAATCATATGGGGAGTAAACCAGATCTCTCTCTCTCTCTCTCTCTCTCTCTGTAGCTCTGACTTTCAAAAATAAATACATCTTTAAAGAAAAAAAAAAGATTGCTGGCCTACAGTCAGAAGTCTCCAAAGGGGAACACTAGGAGAAGGTTGATCCTGGCATGATCAACTGTTCATTAGATACAGAAAATAGTTGAGAGGAGGGGAAAATAAAAGTTTGTTTAGTGTCTAGTTTGATGATCATGCGTGTTAACTCAGGAATCTGATACCCTTCCATACAATCTAGAGGCATTTGAAAGTAAACAGTGGCTGGGCCGGCGCCGCGGCTCAATAGGCTAATCCTCCACCTCTCCACCTAGTGGCGCTGGCACACCGGGTTCTAGTCCCAGTCGGGGCGCCGGATTCTGTCCCGGTTGCCCCTCTTCCAGGCCAGCTCTCTGCTGTGGCCAGGGAGTGCAGTGGAGGATGGCCCAAGTGCTTGGGCCCTGCACCCCATGGGAGACCAGGATAAGTACCTGGCTCCTGCCTTCGGATCGGCGTGGTGCGCCGGCACTGGTGGCCCTTGGAGGGTGAACCAACGGCAAAAGGGAAGACCTTTCTCTCTGTCTCTCTCTCACTGTCCACTCTGCCTGTCAAAAAAAAAAAAAAAAAAAAAGAAAGAAAGAAAGTAAACAGTGGCTGACAACACCAGTCTCCAACCTTATCTTCCATGTTGAAGAGTGGTTTCACGTGTTGCCTGTAAAACTCCAAGGGTGTTATGGGGCCAATCTTCTGATAGTTTTTATCTTTGTCTCGATACTCCCAGGTGAATGTCTCTGGTGGATTGCCCAAACAGATGCACACCACTCGGAATATCTGCAGAGAGAAAGACAGATGAGCAATGGTTAAGGGACGTGTTCTGTTGTACTTCTTCATTTTTCTCAAGCTTGGGAAACCTAAGAAATGAGCGGCTGAACTCAATCCAGAAATCTTACAAGAAATCTAAGATGGCTCCAAAAATCAGAAAGTTGTGCGGGGTCTGATACCAATCAGCTGTGAGTTCTCAAATAAACACTCTGAACAATGCAAATCTATTAATATTTAGTCCTTAGCACCTGTCCTGCAAATTACACTTCCTCAGGCAAGAAACTGCCCACCACTGATACCCAACAAGATCTGGGTTGTGCCTGGCTGGTTATTTTTCAAGTGACAAAGGATGACATATTTTATAAATGGATTTCCTTCCCTTTATGCATTGTGGTTTTCCTTCTATTGTGACAAGTCTTTATGTAAAATGTTTTTATGTAGATTATTACTAGAGAAAAAGTACTATTAGAAAAGGAGTAATTTTTGGTAATAAGGTACTAATTCTTAGGTTGTCAGACAAAAACAACCTGTTTTTCTAATGAAATCACAATACTTTCAGGTTACCATCATTATATTCCAAGAATATCTTTTATAGTATTTTCATCTTATACAAAGAAAAATAGAAGTATAAAGATATATACTTTATATGAGATCAGAAAAAATAAAGTATTTCTCTTCTATATTAAATTTCCTTATGTCTTTGAAAAAATGTAATATTCTAATCTTTTTCTCCCCTCCACAGTCACTACCCTGACTTAATCTCATCACTTAGTACCTGCATTATTTGTACCACACGTTTGGATACTCTATTACATTCAAGACAAATGAATCTTAAATGTATTAAGGAAGTTATTTTGTGCTAGATACTGCAAGTCTGCTAGGTTTACCTCTCAAAACATGCCCTCGAGGTACAGTCCCCATCCTCCACCCTTTTCTTTTTCAGAAGAGGTCAAGACCCAAAGAAATTAAATAATCTACTTAAGATCACATGCCAGTAACTGGCAGAATGCGATCTGAATTGAGGTCACATACTGGGGGAAAAAAAAAAAAGTGTGCCCTTGGCTACAGGTTTTAAAAAGGAAACATTTACTGAATGCCTACTGTGCTGTACTAAATGCTGTATCATGTTGCTAGTCCTGTTAAAAATTGTGGTACATATTACACCCATTTAACATACAAGAAAACCAACAATCAGGGAAACAAATAACCTGTCTGAAGTCACAAAGCCAGTAAATGAAAAATAAAGATTTTAATTCAGGCTTGACTTCCACGCTGTTTCCAAAATATCATGTATTTTCTGGATTTTGGGGTTTCATATAATTTGTCCCCTACAAGAGATTCTAAACTTTTTAAGGATAAGGACCTTATGGATTATTTTGTTTCCTCTATAGGATCTGCACAGTTCTGGGCACAGGCCCTAGATATACCAACTGATTTGAACATTTTCTATTCTCCACATTACCACAGGATCATTCTAGTGGCACCACTTTCTTCAAGTGATTCCCCCGTTGAAGATCATTAATTCTCCCCCATTATCTCCTACAATAAACCCAACCCCATGACCTAATTTCTGTTTTCTTACTTAGGCATAACATTTGTTATGCACTAATGCACTAATTCTAAATGTACAGCTCAATGCAACTTTTAAAAATATAAGTACAGGGGGCTGGCGCAGTGGCGCAATAAGTTAATCCTCTGTCTGCAGCGCCGGCATCCCATATGGGCACTGGTTCTAGTCCCGGCTGCTCCTCTTCCAGTCCAGCTCTCTGCTGTGGCCTTGGAAAGCAGTGGAGGATGGCCCAAGTGCTTGGGCCCCTGCACCCACATGGGAGACCGGGAAGAAGCTCTTGGCTCCTGGCTTCGGATTAGTGCAGCTCCGGCCATTGCAGCCACTTGGGGAGTAAACCAACGGAAGGAAGACCTTTCTGTCTCTCTCTCTCTTACTGTCTGTAACTCTACCTCTCAAATAAATAAATAAAATCTTTAAAAAATATATAAGTATAGATCCACATAATTAATACCATTTAGATCACCATACAGAATACTTCCTGGACTCCAGAGGTTCCTCGGCCCCGCAGGAGAATAACCTACACTCTCCCCAAGGTAACCACCATTTTGACTTCTAAAACCATTGATCAGTTCTGCCTATTCTTTAACTTCATATAAATGGATTCATCGAGCATACTCTTTTGTGCCTGGCTGCCTTTGGCCGACACAAAAATCCATAAGATTCATTTTTATTGCTGTGGGTATGAACAATTTTTTTTTCTTTATTGCTGTGATTCAACTATTTAACAGAAGTAGGTTAAGTTACAAAACAGGTTATGCTTGCCTTTAATTTCTTGCTTTGTTGTTTTCTAGGAGAGAATCTCTCTTCACTTGGATTTACTATTTATTTTATAAGCCTGAAGAGCTGGTCCTCTAACCACCTTTCTACTGATGATGTATCACTGGCAGGTTGTGTCTAGCACAGAAAAAAGCAAGACAACACAGAAGTGATCTTAATTGAGTTACTCTGGCCAGATTAATGAGCTTTGATTATGGGCACAGATGAATGAGTCTGAGACTCACATGAACCAGAGGCATTTTTTGTTTGCTTAGCACCAAGGCTACAACTGGTAACTCCAGGAATCTGCCATTATCAGAAGGATACTGGCACTGGTAATCATGGGCAAGACAATCACAGTGAAGGTGTGGGAGTACAGCCACAAGATACTGAGATTAGGAAGGTTTTATAGATTTGAATAATGTGTATTTTCAACTACTAACTGTTATCACATGTGTCTGTACATACACCAGTGGATCCGTGCTGGTCAATTCTCAGTTACCCAGAGGTGGTGAATCCAGCACAGGAAGGCCCGGAACAAAAAAGGAGGCAGCTGGGTCCAATGAACATTAAGATAACAAGAGCAATTTTGGATTACTTTTAAGCATATTCTAGAGATAAACATGAATGTTTTATGCTACACGTTGCATAGTACCTAACTGTACATTTGACTCTCTCTATCTGAAGTAAAAAGTGTTAAACTATTCCCTCCTTCTCCCAAAAAATACACTGGAGGAAATCTGCATTTCTGTTATCTAAATGAATTCTGTGATGAATCTTTTTTGCAAAATAATACTTAAGCCCTCTTGCTCATGTTTTATAAATTTGAATTTTATCAAATACACATTTAAGACATAAATGAAGGTAAAGGTGACATCTCTTTCATCTTAGATTTTAATAAAACTATCATTAGAGGCATGTTTTAAGCTATTTGTTTACCATGATTATAAATTATCCAAAGTCATTCACATTTAAGTCAGTCTGCAACACTTTGGAAGGAGTATTTGGCTCTAAGCCAAATAATTAAAGTTAGTTAAATGAGCTCTAATTGAAAAAAAATTCTCCAAAGCATAATCTCTAAGGGTCCCTGATATTATGTTTTTTTGATGAGAGACTGCCGTTCTGAAATAGCAGTCCCTGTTCCCAGAGGTACAAAAACAGCAGCAAGCTTTGGATAGCCCAGCCTGCTCTCTGGTGGGCAAGGCGGGAGTGTCACCTGATTCTTACAGGATGCACTCAGCATTCAGGACAGAAAAAGATGCTGAACATTGTACACATGTCATTATGCAGAACTGAATAAGGTAACAGTACAATCAGAATCCTCAGAATAGAATCACCTAGTAGAACACAGTTTTTTCAGGAAAATGTATTTCTGACTTGAAATTGTTCACTCTCATTCTAATTCTTCTGATCTTTCTCTCCTTTATTTTTTTCCCTAGCATTTACCTTGTGGCATGTAATACTTCTTACATATTTTAATGTCTCTCCCTATTAGTGAACTATATTAAAGTAGGGATCCTTATCTATTTTATTCATTGCTGAATTGTTAAAGGCTAGAACAGTGCCAGGTTTATATATATTAAAAAAATATTTATTCAACACACAAGGTGAAATTGTGATTTCAGACCAAACTTAAGTGTCAGAACCAATCTGATTTAAAAATTACTAAAATTGGGGCCAGCACTCTGGCGCAGCCGGTTAAAAGGTATTAAAATAAAGTTAAGAGGGTAGACTCACAGATATGGGCTTTCCAAAACACTAGAAACCTAAAGGCAGAGACACACACAAGACAGTGACACCTGGGACCTGGTTCTGCTACTATAGCCATTTGATTTTTTAAAAACAGTAGAAGCTGCAGCCGGAGCTGTGATGCAGGTCTGGGCACCATATGGGTGCCAGTTTTGAGTTCCAGCTCTCCACTTTCCATCCAGCTCCCGGCTATGCGCTTGGGAAAGCAGCGGAAGATGGCACCCTGCACTCATGTCAGAGACCCAGCCTGGCCTAGCCCTGGCTGTTGCAGCCATATGGGGAGTGAACCAGTGGGTAGAAGCTCTCTCTCTCTGACTCTTCTACTCTAACTCTGCCTTTTAAACAAATAAATAAATCTTAAAAAAAAAAAATAGCAGAAGCCAATGTTTGTAATTATTCCCTTAAATATAGATCATTAGAGAAAGCTGTCCTAAAATTGCGAATCAAGCCTCAAGTTTCAAAGGGCAGTAGCACTGCCCAAAACTGAGCTCAACAATTTGGCCCACTGAGACCCTCCCCTTGTTCCCTTTGTGGGAGGGCTGCCAAGGGAAGCTGCATCTGCACCAGCCTTGTGGGGTAATGTGGCTTCTGTGATTTTTTTTTTTTTTTTTTTTTGCCAGGCAGAGTTAGACAGTGAGAGAGAGACAGAGAGAGAGTTATAGACAGTGAGAGAGAGAGAGAAAGGTCTTCCTTCCATTGGTTCACTCCCCTAATGGCTGCTACGGCCGGCGCTGCGCCGATCCAAAACCAGGAGCCAGGTGCTTCCTCCTGGTCTCCCATGCGGGTGCAGGGGCCCAAGCACCTGGGCCATCCTCCACTGCTCTCCCAGGCCACAGCAGAGAGCTGGACTTGAAGAGGAGCAATCGGGACTAGAACCTGGGGTGCCGGCGCCACAGGTGGAGGATTAGCCAAGTGAGCCACGGCGCCGGCCTCT